GAGGTCACTATGAATACCTCCACTTGGAGTATCTGTCAATGTTTCAGTAATCCTTGCCCTGTTTTCTTGTTCTTGTATTTCAGTTTTTAAAAGTTATCAGGAACCGGGCATGGTGGCGCACACCTTTAATCCCAGCACTCTGGAGGCAGAGGATCTCTGTGAGTTCAGGCCAGCCTGGTCTACATTGTGAGTTTCAGGCCAGCTGGGGCTACGGGAAGACCCTGTCTCAAAAAGATCCCCCCCCCCCAAATGTTATCAAAATAGCACACACGACTAGGCTTGGTGGTACACACACCTGCAATCCCAGCACTTGGGAGGCCAAGGCAGGAAGAACACAAGTTTGAGGCCAGACTGGGTTACAGTAGTGAAGCCCTATCACAGAAGAAAAACAAAAACCCCTTAAAAGAACCTGCCTAACATACGTGCACACATACACACGTGACTTCAACGGTCCTGAAGACTTTGTAAGGAGATGTTCTGCTGCCTCAGCTCTCCCCACACCCTGCTCTAGCAGTTGCAGCGTGTCCTTTGGCCAAAGCCTTCCCTGTTTCTCCGTCTTTTAGGATGGCATGCATTTCCAGCTTTCAACGTCCTCTACTGACTTCCAGGCTGACAAATGAAGATCGGGCTGTCACAGGTCACCTCCCTTCCTCTTTGTTGGCTGTCTTGGTGACTTTAAATATTGAAGTTCTATTCCTTGTATCAGGTATGGACAATTCCTTTCCCATATACGCTCTCTCTCTCTCATAATCACAGATGTTTTATTTTCTAAGGTCAAGAGGCAAGACAAAGAAACCAGTTTAATTACCAAACTGCACTGATGCCTGCATGAAATATAGTTCCTTTCTGCTGAGAATTATGATGTAGGTACCCTGGCTGGCAGGCACTTTGGGCAGACAGCCAAGTTGTTGTTTTACTTCCCAGCTGAGCATCCTCAGGCCCGCAGAATAATGCCAGCTATTTGGTTATTTTTCACAGTTCTCCCTCTCCAGGGCAGGCCAGCAAAGCCCACACTCTGCCATCTGCCATCCCACTGTGATTAAATCATGATTCTAACATCAAATAATGCCGATTCTTCACTGGTGAAGTGGGGCAGATTTATTTCAGTAGCACCAGGTGCGTGCTAACCCCTCAATAAATATTTAGTGAATCAATGAATAAGTGAGAGGCATTTAAAGAGTCAAGCACATGGCATGAGGAGGCATCAGTCCATAAGCATCAGGCTGACAAAGGGCAGGGGTGGGGGTGCGTGAGAGGAGCATGTGAAGATGGCAGAGGTCACCCTGATGGACTCCGGGAAATTCATGGGGTTGCTTGGGAGCCATTTGGCAATGCTGCACACAAGCTGTGGTCTCTGCTTGTGCACCACCCAGAGCAGGACTGGAACTTCACTATCAAGGGCCAGATAGTAAATATTTTAGGCTTTGTGGGTCATGTGTCTTTGCTGCAATGCCAACTCTGCCCCTGTGGTGTGAAAGCAGCTGGAGATAATTAATATGCAAATGGGAAGGATTATGTTCTGATAAAACCTGATTTATAGGGCTAGAGAGATGCTCAGTGGGCAAAGTGCTTGCTGTGTAAGCATAAGGACCTGAGTTTGGATCCTCAGGGCCCATGCAAAGAGCTGAGCATGGAGCGCACACCTGTAATCCCAGTGCTGGGGAGGTGGAGACAAATGAATTCCTAGGACTTGCTGGCCACAGCCTGCCTGGCTGCAACAATGAGTTCCAGGTTCAATAAGAGACCCAGTCTCAAAAGAATAAGGTGACTGAGAGTGACTGAGGAGACCCTTGATGTTGACCTCTGGCCTCCACATGTACACATAAAAATATGTATGCACACATACACAAAACCCGATTTATCCAAACAGGTACCACTCAGGGTGTGGCCCATTCCTGACCTGAGGATCTCTCATCTGTGTGCATAGGGCTGGTCCTACCCCCTCCTACTTGTGACAAAGTAAGCCGGGATAGTCTGAGCCCAGTGACAGAAAAAGTAGTATTCTATGGCATTGTGTGTGTGTGGGTGGGTGGGGGGTGTGGTGTGTATGTGATGCTATACTTATTAACATGTTTGAATCTCAAAAACAGAAGAATGAAGGAAGCAAGTTGCACAGGGGGACAGCATGTGGTGGCCAAGGTTATATGTTGCTTGGCTGTATTATACACATGGATGATTATTCTGGATATTTCTGTATGTTTTGATGAGAGTGACATGTAATTAACCAGACTTGGTAGTGCAGGCCTGTCATCTTAGGCACTCTGGAGGCTGAGGCAGGAGGATCAAAAGTGCAAGGGCTGCCTGGGCTGCAGATTTGCAGGCCAACCCTGTCTTAAAATAAAAAGAAAGACGTGGGCTGGGGATATAGATCAGTGGTAGAGCATCTGACTAGCATGCTCAAGACCCCGGGTTCAATCCTCAGCAACACACACACACACACACACCACACACACACACTACACACACACACACCACACATACCACACACACACACACACACACTACATATATGCAACAATTATTAAAAATTTAAAAATAATAATGGCTATGGTGATTTTAGGAATAACATTCAGGCTCAATTTAGACTATGCTCCCCCAGGGTCGGCCCCCTGAAATCCAGTTCCTCAAGCTGAAGGTGGGAAGCCAGCAATCCCACCACTTTCTTCTCCCTCCATATCGACGGAAGTTGCAGGGTGTATCCTCAGCCATCTGCAAGAGATCCTCTCTCTATATCCGGCCTCCTCTGGACTCTTTCACGCCAAATTATACCTCAGTGGGCACAAGGGACTCACAAATCATGAGTGTGATATTTAGTTCTGGGTTGGCTTTTCTAATTCACCCACACTGAGGGACGCATGCAAAAGCACTCACACACACACACACACACACACACACACACACCACACATACCACACACACACACACACACACACACACTACACACACACACACCACACATACCACACACACCACACACACACACACACACACACCACACACACCACATACACACACCACACATACCACACACACACCACACACACACACACACACACACCACACACACCACACATACCACACACACACACTACACACACACACCACACATACCACACACACACACACACACACACATTGGATTTTGAGTAAAGTAGATTGTCTTCTGTAACATGAGTGGGCCTCATCCAATCAGCTGTAGGACTGAGTATCAGACACTGAATGTCCCTGGAAAAATGGGGCCCTGCCAGAAGACATCCTAAGGACTTGACCTGCAACGTCAGCTCTTCCCTGGGCTTCCACCTCCTGATGCTTTGGCCTTGGACTCCTGCCTCCACAATGGTAAGCCGATTCCTTGATATCTTTCTCTCCCTCTTTTCCCTCTTCCTCACTCTATCTGCATGTATGCATGTGTTTTATTTCTTTGGACAATAAGTTGAACACAATTTATTATATATTTCAAATAGTAACAAACCTTTTTAAATAAGACTGGACCAGGGCATTGGGGATCTGTGTAGTTGGGAACTGGTCAGGATGAACACAAATGGTTTTTAATTCTATCTAACATCTTTGATTTCTGCTTAAAACAAAATGTATAGCATATAACATTAAGGGTTGGCAATGTTGAATGCCGTACTCATAATTAAGAAGTAAACAACGAGGTGATATAAGCGAAATCAGCTAGGAAAAATGAACTGGCCCTGTGGTCAACACATCACGGTCTCAAAACAGAGAGGTTGTCTGGGAAGGTGTGGTGAGAAGGAAAGTGGGAGCTACCGGAAGTGGACAGGTACAGGGGAGGGCAGACTCCTGGGATAGCGGACATAGGATGGAGTGGAGTTTGCTGCAGACCCAGGGAACAATGAGGTATGGACAGCAGACCCAGCAGAGGTATGGACAGTAAGCAGGTCAAGGGGACCAGGACACAGTCCACAGTGCCTGGCTCTCTCAGAGACTCTTTCTGTTTGCCCAAAGGCAGCTTTCTGGAAACAGTTATCTCCAATTTTCCTCTGATGAGATTTATTTCCCTGGTGTTCACCCATGCCAGAGGAATTTATCCTCCTCAGAAGTATGCTGAGAACTTGTCGGGGCTTAAAGCAAGTTACCAGCACTCCTTTCTAATTGCAGGTGTGGCTCTCACAGCAGAGACTGCCATGTTCTGACAAATCCTTTGTAAGTGTGCATGCAAGCATGTGGAGGCCAGAGGACAACCTGGGTGTCATTCCTCAGAGACCTCTACCTTGTTTTTTGAGACAAGGTCTCTCAACTGAGAGCTGGAGCGCACTGATTAGGCCAGGCTGGCTGGCCAATGAGCCCTAGGGGTCCTCCTGTCTTTCCAGCCCTGGGATTGCAAGCCTGTACCAGGCCAGGCCAGGGAGATGGTGCCACAGGTAAAAGTGCTTGCCAGGCAAGCCTGATGACCCGAGTTTGATCCCTGGAATTCACATAAAAAGCCAGATGCACCACTGTATCTGGTTACCATGCAGTTTTTAGTTATTTGCTAGTGATCAGAAAAAATCATAGAACCAGTTGTGTTTCCATTCAGTGTCTGCCTCCCACTGAGTGTGTTGAAAGGGGTTTTGTCACACTAGACCTGTATTTTGACCACATCTCTTAAGTCCCTCCTGGTCCACATACACTTGATATCCTTGAGCTGGCACATCACAGTGTGCCTGGACCAATGTATGGATGTGTTGATTCATTCTTCCTAGATTCTAAAATCTAGGGCAATCCAGGGCATATGGATTTTGACTGTTTTAATCATTTAATTCTCATAGTGCCTGGTACATGGCAGACTGCATTCAATGCCTCAGAGATGAACAGAATAAAAGGGAATCTGTGACAGCACCACAGTAGCTACCATGACAAATGCTACACTGTCAGGCTGCTGGCAAGAAAGGAGGCAGGGCCAGTGCATGCCACCGTCACGGAAGATTCTGTACTTACATGTGACACTAATTACACATACATGCTGAAGAGTGGTATTCTAACCTGACACTGACGAAACTTTCCTCCCTGCTGTCATTTCCTTCAAGCTTCAGAAGCCCCACCACCATGTTAGCAGCTGCAATCATCGTCTTCTTTTTCGGAGGAGGAAATGAAGGTGGGGGTGGATTAAGAATCTGGGCAAAGTACCTGAACACTGGAACCTGGGTCTCTGCCCCCAGCATCAGGCTGTGATCTAAACCCCCAAAGTGACCCAAAGTACAACTGAAAAGGTGAAGGATTTCTTCCGTCCCAAACAGCGGTAGCGGAGAACAGGGGCAGATGTGCTGGCTATGCAAAGCTCGGCAGAGTGGAATTTTATAGTTGATTTTAATCCTCAAGAAATTAGAAGCTATTGTGGAAATTCTGACATGATCAGATTGGCTACAAGATGGTATGGGCTATATGGCCGGTCTCCCAGATCGTGGTGGGTTCATTAGAGAAATCAGAATCTAGGACTTGACACAAAGAATAATTTGCAAGGCCGTTCCTAGATCAGCCAGAAGGTGGCGCCACGTGTCAAGAGGGAGCAGCCTGGGACTCCCCTCATTTCTCCTGAAGCTCTGACTTGCCCTGGAGACCACTCTGGGATTGCTGCCCACAAAGAGACACCAGGGACCCATCCCTGTGTGCCACTGTAAAAATGCTATTTATACTCGTCCCTGTGGTGCTGTGGAGTTGGCTGGGTACACAGCATAGAAAGGTTCTGCAATGCTTGTGGATATTATTATTTAACTACAACAAATAATGACACTGATTACTCCCAAAGTTAATCTGAATGCTTACCATGGTCAGACAGTATACTAAAGGCTCTAAATAGTTTATTTGATTGAATTCTCACAACAACCCTGTGGTGTGAACAGTATCCTCATTTTATAGATCAGAGTATTGAATTCAGGGAGGTGACAAGGTTTGTCTCAGGTCACAAAGTGGGTCAGTGGCAAAGCCAGGGTATGAACCCAGTTCTTTAGGACTCAACAGTATGTACCATTAGCCCTTGCCATGTGGTATCCCAGTTCCCTTCCTTCCTGCCGTCTTTCCTTCCTTCTGTCCTTTCTTGGTGTCTGGTATCATGCCATTATTTGTTAATTCAGGAAAGACCAGATCACACTTCTGCTATTGAGGAGTCTACTAAGGAGTCTCAGTGTAAAGAGTAGATTGAGAATGGTAGCCATGGTGACTGGGATGGTCATCCGTGTAAGATGAAGAGGAGGCTCACAAATATTCCCAGTCAGCTTCATGCAGGTACAGTGCTAAGACTGGCCAAGACATCCCAGCTGTGCATTCGTTTAATTTAGTCTGGGATTTTGTGAATTTAGATTATGTGTAGGCTTTGCCAGCTCTCATTTAACCCTCTGTCTGGACAAATTCATCTGAGAAATATGCTGGCAGGTGTGTGTGGGGGGTGCTAATAATGGTTGTCTCATCGTTTCTGGGACATGGGCCAGGATGAAGGTGACCAACACATGCTGAACATTCCCAGCCTGGCCAGTCACCCAGACAAACTACAGAGGACTTGGGGAAGAGACTTTCTAACTTTCACCCACTGCTCAGAGATGAGGATACAGAATGGTTTATGGCCTGAAGCTAGGGAGGTCAGGGAATTCTGCCCTCAGATTTTACAGAGATGGAGCCTCCAAGAGAAAGGGATTTGCCCAATGGAATGCAGTTAGGTAGCAACCAGAAGGAAAATCAAGCAGAGGCAGCTGAACCAGGTCCCCTGACGTCTATGAAGAAGACTCACTCACCTGACTGATGGTCATGGAAGGGAATCCGGTCTACTTTCTGTGTGTCTCCAAGGAGAGTCATGGTGATCTGGTCCCTTCATTTAATAGTTGAGGAAATGGGTTTAGCGAGGTGGTGGAACTTGGCTGGGCCACACAGTAGCTGAATGACAGGACTGAGTTCTTGTTCAGTGAGCACTGCTCCCCTGGGCTGTCTGCAACACATCTTTCTCCTGTGAACTCCAAGCCTCACATGGTTTGACAGGACTCAGACTATGATCTCAAGTGCAAAAGGAAGTGGGGCGGGTGCAGAAATATTGGTATTTAGGGACCTTTGAAGTGGCAACCAACCAATAGCTGCTGTTATAGCTTGGGCTGTATACTGCCCTAAAGATTGGTTGAAATCCCAACCTCAGGACCTGTGAACGTAACCTTCTTTGGAAATGAGGTCTTTGCAGATGAAATCAAGCTACAGTGAGGTCCTTGTACAGGACTTGATCTAATGTGAATCATAGCTCCTTTGACACAAGAGAAATCAGGGTTGGAGATGGCTCAGAGGCTTAAGGCACTTGCTGCTCTTGCAGAGGACCCAGGTTCAGTTCCCAGCACCTACATGACTGTTCACAACCCTCTGTAACTCCAGTTCCAGGGAATCTGATGCCCTCTTCTGACTTCTACAGCATCAGGCATTTATGTAGTACACCTGCATATATGTAGGAAAATACTCATACACATAAAAATAAATAAAATCTTAAAAAGAAAAAGAGAGAAATCTGGACAGAGACACTTGGGAAATGAATGCCAAGACTGGGTGATGCAGCCACAAACCAAGAACTGCCAGCCATTCTCAAGAACTAGGAGAGGGACATGGAGTACCTCCCTCAGAGCTCTCATTTTAAGCTACTCTGTCTGTAGTTGGTAATGGTCCTATTGAAATGAATACAGTTACTGCCCATTAACTGATTATTTTTCCAGCACTTACATTGCTGGTTTAATTATAAATTGTGCCCCTGTATGTGCCAGGCACAATGCTGGGCACTTGAGTAGCAAGAGAGGATTGATCATGCCTTTCCCACAGCTCACCTTCTCATTCCTGATCCATGATGCTGTGAAATGGGTATTATTTTCTCTCCATTTATAGAGGAGGAAACCGTTATTCAGGGTTTGTAACCAGGCTAGAGTCTCCATTCTGGTTAAGGAGGAAACCAGGCTTGGCTTCATCTCTGTCCTGCCTCGGTTCACTGCCTGGGCACATGGTTGCCAATACAGACTCTGGGAGTGGGGAAAGAGGACATAGACAAGAGCCCAAGTCCCACAGATCTGGTTCACTCAGCAGCTGAGATGCAGGGGCCCCTGCCTTCTAAAGGTACATCCCAGCCCAGCCTAAGAAATGATACCTCAGCTTTTGGCCTTCAGAGTGAGTTCTGGAGGCACATCAGAGCTGAGAGGCTTCTCACATGTTAGTTCTGTTTGGTCCTCCAGTACTGTGGATGGAGAGGCAGAGAGAGCAGGGTATGGGATGAGGAAGTCAGATAACAGCCCTGTAGCTGGCAGCCAATAGCAGTGTGGTAGAGTATGCACTTGTGTGAGAATGTTCACAATCAGGGCAAACATCAGACATGGTCATTTTGGAATCTTGGTAGATAAAGGCAGAGACCAGGGCCTGTGGTGATTGTATCTGAACAGAGGCAAGGATGCTCTTAAACACAGAACGCGCAAGGTCGAGTGGCTGCTGTTTCTGCTGTCCTAACCCTGCTTCCTAGGTAAACAGTAAGGTTCACAATCATCAAGCAGCCCCACCTTGCCAGCATCAAATGTGGATTAAGCCCTGACTTCCTCCAAGTCTTCCAGCACGGGCCCTCTTACCAGGTCATCCCAGTATGCTCCTTCACTGTACTGATTAGTCTGGATCTGAAAGAATGTTCTCTGCAAACTTTAGTGATTTTCAGCAGCCCCATGCCTCACCACCACAACCCATGGGGGCAGCCATCCTAGGCCTGGACACTTGACATGACCTTTCATTTCTCACAAAGGGCCCTTAGCTCTCCAAATCGCCACAAAGCTCGGTGTTGTCACCCTTGTGAGGACAGAAACCCCACTTAGCAGTCTTTGGAATCCCTCACAGCAGGCGTCATATTGGGCAGAGGTCTCTCCCACCCACACAGGCAGCTGCCTACCTTTTGTGGAACAAGAATTGGAGCCATGCACCACAGGGAGCTTCTGAACCCTACTCAGATGAAGATGTCCTTCCTGGAGGGCTGAATGCTCAGCATAATTTTTCCCCCTTTCTGAGTATGAACATCACTGAAAAAGAAAAAATAATCCCAAGGGAGGCTGCACCATTTCCGGCAGCAAAGCTATTAAACTTTCCAGTTAGCCCGGAGCTGACTGAAGAGTTGGAAGGTGCCCCAGCCTCCTGCATCCTAGTTTACAGCCCTTAGTTCCAGTCAGAGCTGTGCCTAGGTGAGGATCAATCTACCTTTTGTGACTCTATACCTTCCAGATTAAAAGGGGCAGAGAAGAGGAGAAAAAGACACATCTCAGAGTTTAAACTCCTCACAGAGGAGGGCCTTTGTGGGAACTGCTCCACTTTACCAGACAGAGGGCCTTAGAAGTAGACTGTGGGCCCACTGGCCCTGTGGGGTTCTGAACAGAACCTTCTGGATTTATAAATGAAGTTAGTGGGAAGATTAGTAATGCCCAAATGGGGCAACAATACTGAATTGGTCCTGGCTAGAACACAAATTAGGCGTGGAATTAATCTTTAGATACCTCAGTTTCTTTATGAAATGGGCATCAAGCCAGTAAGCAGCGTTCCTCCACGGCCTTTTAGCTCCTGCCTCCAGGTTGCCGGCCGGAGTTCCTACCTTGGGCTCCCTGATGAACTGTGACCCTGGAGATATAAGCCAAATACCTCCCCGCCCCTCCAAATAAAGAAACGGGCATTATGGAGCCAGGCGCGGTGGCGAGCACCTATAATCCCAGCACTCAGGAGGCTGCGGCTAGAGGGTCATGCATTGGAGACCTTGTCTTAAAACACATTAAAAATTTTAAAAATGGGGTGGGGGGCTTATGGTCTGCATTGTGTCTCCTCAATCCAGTTGTCAAAGTTCTAATTGCCCAGTACTTCAGAATGTGACCATTTTTAGAGAAAGGGTCTATAAAGAGATAATTAAGTTAAAATGAGGTCACCGAGGGTGGTCCCAATCCATCATGACTGGTGACCTTGAAAGAAGAAGAAATGTTGGCACAAATGTGCAGTCCCATGAAGGTTCTGGAAGAATCTGTCAGTCAAGGAGAAGGCCTCAAAGCAATAATCTTGACCTTGAACTTCCAGCCTCTGGAACAGTGAGGAAACGCATTTCTGGTGTTACACTCACCCAGGCTATGGTCCTTTGCTCTGGCAGCCAGTACTGACTAATTACATCTCTCTAGGGATCTCTGTCCACCACTGAGAGGACCCATGGAGCCATGAGTGAGAAGTCCTGTTGAAACCGGCATGTGTCCTGTCCATAGTGGGTCTTACCCGAGGCTGTGGACATTTCTCCCTCCTAAGTCTTATCAAAGCACTTAGCTCTACTAGGAAAAATTGTAAGGGAACTCCCATGTCCCCAGAGTACCCTCACCTTCTCCACACCCAGCAGTGGCTAGATATAGGAGAATTCAGGGTCTGCCCAAGGCTGTCCCTGTAGGTGGTCCCTGGCTTGGGCTGGCCTGGGTGTGTGGACTCCACATTGGAGGACTTAGCATCTGTGCACTGTGAGAAACACCAGCTAGAGAAATTTGCTCCCTAGACAGGGCAACTTAGGGAACCCTGAGAACCCCCACAGGGAATTCATGAGAAGTCCCAGGGGCTTCCCTTCCTTGTAAGAACAACTACACATGAGAGGCATTTTTATCTTCATTATATAGATAAATAACAAAGGATCTAGTAAGTTAAGAGACAAGCCCAGCCTGGTGTGGTGGCGCACGCCTTTGATCCCAGCATTTGGGAGGCAGAGGCAGGCGGATCTCTGTGAATTCAAGGCCAGCCTGGTCTACATAGTGAGTTCCAGGACAGCTGGGGCTACAGGGAAACCCTGTCTCAAAAAAAGAAAAAAAAAAAAAAAAAAAAAAAAAAAAACAACACCAACAAAAATCAATTTTCGGGAAAGGGGCTGACAGTTCCCTACCCTCTGCAACAAATGGGATAATGGGTCACTGGGAAAAAAAAAATATGTCCCCAATTCTAAAGTAAGATATAAAGATGAAACAAAAAAAAAAAAAAAAAAAAAAAAAAGAAAAAAAAGAGACAAGCCCAAGTATTCTTGGCAAATGAATAGTAAAAAAATTTCACCTGCCACTTAGCCTTTCTCAGAGTTGCCCCGCCACCCAGGGGGCTCTTGCCTGGGGGATGGGGGTGGAGCTAATGAATTGAAATTTAAGGTGGGAGATGAGGTCTAGAAGAGTTCTGGCTGGTGAGACTAGGAGGGAGGACTGGGGAGGACAGAAGACTCAATCGGGGGTGGGCCAGGCAGAGGTGGGCAGTTCGTGTTCAGCAGTGACTTGTTTCCTGTGCCATACCCCCAGAGCCTGCCTAACTCCATTTCTCTCCCCACATTGCAATGTTTCCCCTCAAACTTACTCAGACAGTTATTCATTGGCCCCTGAACAACTAACTAACTAACTAAATAATAAATAAAAATTACGAGTTGTTTTCTAATAGCCAGTCCATGTGGAAGGGAGTTCTCTGGGACTTTTCATTTCCTCCTGCTAACAGCCGAAATAAGTTCTCATTTCTGCTGAATAATGCAACTGTGATAGCTCGACTAGCTCATTTAAAGCAGATAAATGAGTCTTTATGTGCAGTTCCCCCAGTAGACAAGGATGAACGAGGTTTTATTTGCCTAAATGGAGTCCTTGGCTTCAGTGGCTCAGCCTCACCCGTAGGGGGTGAGGGGGTGGGGGTGGCACTGGGGACCCTGTGCCACTTCTGCCTGCCTCAGCTGCTCTCGAAATAATCCCTGGAAAAAAGCTCCTACATTTGTTCTCCGCACTTGGCGCCAGCTGCCTGGATTAAGATTTAATTTAGTTCTTCTAGAAAGT